ATTCTGATTCATAGATTCACTTCGCCAGGAAAATTGCTTTTCTCGTTTTTAAGTCACTTGCAATCTAAAGTACCATTTCCTTTTCCCTCCCTAGGTCCTTCAATGACAAACCTATTAATGAAGATGCTGTTGGACCTATTGGAAAAGATCTATTTGAGAAGGAGCAAAATGACCTTCTCATGGACTTAGTAAATATACCAAAGAAGGCCTGCGACCGTCGAGTAAGTGACAATCTTTTGATTTGCTTTCAATTTATTCTTATGTATATGAAGTGAAGGTCTTGATATTTGCATTTTGCAGATCAATGAATTTGTGAAGCGCACTAGAGCTGCCAAGATCCATGCTTACATAATTAGTCACCTTAAGAAGGAGATGCCTGCCATGATGGGAAAGGCTAAAGCTCAACAGCGACTCGTTGACAATCTTGAAGATGAATTTGGCAAGGTTGGCAAATCTCTCCTATTACTTTTATCTATTGTTACTTTACTTAGGGTTTGGAATAAATTCAAAAACTTAGTTGAATTCATTTAGAAGATGAAACTTTGTTTGGTTAGAAGGCGGTGAAAATTCTCTTTTGATGACAGAAATTGACCTTATTTGAAGTTTATATGGAATGAGAACAATATATGCAAAATTTCATAATTTTTTATAGAATTTGAAATACACTGATTTAGTTACACAAGAAATTTTATACGGAAATTTTTTTATCCTCTGATAAAATTTATATAATTTCTTAACTGAACTAAATATTAATTTGTAAATGCATTTCGTTGAATTTCTGGGAGTCATCCAATCATATCTGCTACTTTTTGTGTTAAGTATTCATAATTCATTTCTGAAACTTGCACAAAACAAACAGGTTCAACGAGAATTTCATCTACCAGCTGGTGATTTTCCAAATGTGGAACATTTTAAGGAGGTTTTGGGTGGATACAACATTGATAAGTTTGAGAAATTGAAGCCTAAGATGATACAAGCTGTTGACGACATGCTTGGGTACGATATTCCCGACCTCTTGAAAAATTTTAGGAACCCTTATGAGTAAAAATGCTATTGAATTTTGCTGTTGCACCCTATGCTGTATTATTAATTGCTTGTGTAAAATCAAATCTTTGCTTTTTGATTTTTGTGACGGACATAAATTCATGTTATAAACATTTTAAGAGTTGAAAGAATGTTTTACTTCTTTTGCATCATGAATCAATGATGCTTATAAACAAACTTGTCATGAGCATGAAGTAATTAAAGTGAAATTATCTCAATTTAAATTCACATTATCGATGTTTTCATTTTTTTTTTTTTGGAAATTTAATTATATGCAACTTTATTCTGAACATTATAGTTCGGACTAGAATGTTAGACTGGTCTGGGTAAACTTTCAATTTTTGAAAATAGAGATTGAAAAAGTTTATTCTGTAATTAGAATTAGTTCAGTTAATAATGAAGTACATTTTGTTTTGATGATTTGGTTTTGGATTTTTATGAAAATAAAATTCTAAGAATCTCTTAGAAATTGTCATATAATATGCTCTTATAATTAAAAAAATAAATAAAGTAAAAAACTGATATAATCTACATTAATTTAATTGTTTTAATCATCATTATGAGAAGATTGAATTTCTTTAGTTATGATGGTCACAATCTTGTTATAAGTATTTAACATATTCATATCTAACGATTTTTCATAAAGTGATGACAGAATATATAATTTTTATAACTCTTTCTATTTTGCAATTTGATCTGATCTATTAGTTTGTAAAATTATTTATTCGATTGTAGATATTTCTGAAACATCTCTATAATCGTGTTACAGGTATTTAATATATTCATATCTAACGATTTTTTATAAAGTAGTGACAAGATATAATTTTTATAACTCTTTCTATTTTGCAATTTGATCTGATCCATTAGTTTGTAAAATTATTTACTCGATTGCAAATATTTTTGAAACATTTCTACAACCGTATTACAGGTATTTAACATATTCATATTTAACGATTTTTCATAAAGTAGTGACAAAAGATATAATTTTTATAACTTTTTCTATTTTGCAATTTGATCTTATCCATTAATTTATAAAATTACATACTCGATTGCAGATATTTTTGAAAACACTTCTAATAAATAGATAAATAGTTAATTTTAAAAGAATCTATTGTCAATCTCTTTCAGATATGAATCTATCTTATTTAAAAGAGAAGAACTTGTATTAGTGTCTCAATTTCATTTTAAATATGAGTTTGATTCGTATTTCATGTTCTCATAAATATTTATCATTTAAAAAAAAAGAAAAGACGAAGACTTTGTTTAAAAAAATGTGTTGAAAAACAACGCGTTAAAAATTTAATTTAATATTTTTTATAAAAGAATTAAAAAAATTATAAAATCAACAAAAATAATTTAATTAAAAAAATATATATAAGTAATAAAATTGAAGAGAAATAAAAGGTCAATAGTGGCCGCTGATGTACAAAAAGTTGAGGCACTTAAAAGTTGATTCCAAATTTAGTTAAGTATAGGTGAGATGGCTACTTATTGAAATAAGACTATTACGTTCAAAGCTATACATGTAATAAACTTATGGACCCACTAAAATTTAAATATAATATTTCAAAATAAAATAAAATGATTAATCATTTTTATATTAATTTTTTTATTATAAAATTTAAAAAATTACAAAATTTAGATACATATATATATATATATATATAAAAGAATACAGGCATGTCAATTTCTTATTTTTTGAAATAATTTTATATTTAATATGATAACATATGTAATAACTATCTGTTTATTTTTAATATAAGAATAATTTTTAAATATGTTAAAATAAAATTAAACATGATAATATAAGTAATAATTATTTATTAATAATACATAATAATTATTTATTTAAATATTTTAAATATAAAAAATAAATAGTAACAATTATTATATTTTTATATAATTTATTTTTTATTGATTATAAATTTTGGTATTATATATTAATCACATTTTTTTTCTTCACATCTCATTCATCTTGCACATGAATTAATGTATAATAATTTTTATGTATTTTTATTACTAATTTTTTTTACTTCTGAATAATTTTTTTCAAAAAAGTAATATTTATATTATATTTTATATAATTATAAAAATTATATTCTGCAAATGACACATATCTTAATATTTAAATTTATATATATATATGTAAAGATAGTTTAAACTAAATATCAAGTCGAATGAAAATGATAATAATAATAATAATTAATTAATTAATTAATAAGTCAAATCTTATCCAACTTTCTGTGCTGTAATGAGTAATATATATATATATATATACATGTATACATGGCACATGTCAATATTTGAATTACATGCGCCCTTTTTTATTTCTGGATTCTGAGACCGGCACGAGCTCTGCAATTATGACCTGGCAAATCATCGGACAACTTCTTAATACCGGTGGCGGTCTATGACGCGGACGTAGCTCCCTGGGCCATGTGGATCATCAAAATGCAGAAGAAGAAGAAGAAGTTTTACAAGAACACGTAGTTGCCATAAGAAGATAAGATGCATATTAATCAAAAACCATATAGATCGATTTGAATCTCGCAGCGCATTTTCTGAAAATGGATGAGAAGAGGAAGAGAATGGGGACGAGATTTGATTCTACTCGGGGAATCGGTTTCGGAATCGCTGAGCGGATCGGCTTGGAAGGTGCCTCTGTTGTCGTCTCCTCTCGCAAGCAGGTTTGTTCGCAGTAACTCATGGCTGTGTTCCCAAGTTTCTTCCTGCCCTATTCTTGTACGAAAATGGTCTGTTCTAATTCCAGATTTTGGAACTGACGATGTAACACCACCTAAAAAAAAAAAAATTAGTTATTTTATTTTATTTTTTATTAATAAATACAATTTTTTAATTATTTAATTTATTTATTTATATTTTATTTTATTTTAATTTAATAAAAAAAATTGAGTAAATTGATAAAGGTTTAAATTGAAAACAATTTTGAAAAAAATGAGTGAAAAATTGAATTTTGAGAATATTTTTAAAAGAAAAATCGGAAACCGATGGTTAAAGCGCAATTTAAAAAAATTGCGCCACGTTAGACTCCCGGTCAGCAGCCCCGAGTAACCAGGACGTGTCAAGTGGCAGAGGCGCTGACGCGGGAGGCCACGCGGGGGAGCCACGTGGGCGATCCGCGTGCGCACGATCTAACGGCTGAGATCTGTTCCCGCGCGCACGGACGGCCCAGAGTGAATCGCGCACAGACGGTCTAGATTGAATTGCGATGAACGGCTCATATTCACTCTCTATTTAATCGCAATCTGATGGTCCAAATCAAAAGTGAATGGGTATAAATAACATCATCTGCACCCAAACCTTAACTCTAATCGCCAGAACCCCTCGCCGGAGAAGACAACTCAGTTGCCGGGGAGCCGACCGACGCCACCCGGCCCCGCATCGGAACCCTTTCCAACTGCCAAAAAAGGTAAAAAAAAAAAATTTTGCACGAAATCCAATTTTAAACCCACCCATGGCCAAATCAGAGTGAAAGAACAAGCCAATTGACCAAAAAACATCATCGAAGTCCGGCGCCGCCACCGCAAAAAATTTCACAAACCAC